AAGATGTACAGGATGACGTTCACACCTCCATCACTGACACTGTGATATAATAAGAGGAAGTACCAGCCTCCTGGGGTCATCAAGTAACATTTTATTACAGCTATTTTATATCTCATATACCGAACTGAAACAGACCAAACAGAAGGCCTTTATACACATAACACAATACGAACCTTACCATGGCAAGAACATATATTTTTTCATCCCTACCAGTCAGATGTGAATTTTTCTATTTTCACTGCTATTTATAGACTTCTTCAAAATTATGTTTCATGGTAATGTAATTATTATGTAATAAGTAAACAAATTGATATTTATTATGTTACAGTAAAGAGTGTTAAAAAACAAACAACACTGTATTCTGATCCACAATATTTAACAATATCCTCCTTTTCCTTCTCCAGGACCGAATGTACAATAGCCTGATTTTCTTTAGTTGCTGTAAGTTATTAAAACAAGGTTTGCAAATCTAATACAAAAATATATTTCCCCTTAAGACTGGGATTGATCCATATAGTAATAGAGTGGGGTTGATCCATATAGTAATAGACTGGGATTGATCCATATAGTAATAGAGGCCCAAGGCTGTTTTCATATTTCATGTACCACAGCAAAGTCTGTATGTCTGGGCCAGTGAATACATACAGTATTATGTTTCTGGAACCGTTCTGTTCTTGGAGCAATGATCCCTGATAGTAGTCCAAATGTCATATGTTATTAGTCTTGTTAGTCAAATGACGATGTGGAAAGGGCACCTGCACCTCTGTGTTGTTTCCATCCATCTTGAGATGAGACGTAGTTGACAGATGATGTGATTATTGTGGAGGCTCTATCCTAACAATCTGCCCTGTAATGCTGACTTATAGTAGGATCAGGACTTACCATGGAATATTGACATCCATGGTACACAGAATTAACCATGGACTCTGACAATTGATGACTATGGAAGTTCATTATAGTTACAGGACTGTGGGGTAGCCTGATGGTTAGAGTGTCGGCTTGTCACACTAAAGATCCAGGTTTGATTCCCCACATGGTACAATGTGTTAAGCCCATTCCTGGTGTCCCCCGCCATGATATTGCTGGAATAATTGCAACAAGCAGCATAAAATCATGCTCACTCACTCACTCACTCATAATAGTTACCCCATAGTAATGTCAGCTATGAGATAAATGGTACTGCTCTCCAAAGCTTTGAAATATTTTTGCAGATTTGTTTTGAAGTCCTGATACAATCAGTTCAATTCAATAATACAAAATTAAAAAAGTTAAATAGTTTCTGAATGTTAACCTCATTTTGAAATTAATTTGGGTTGTTTAATTACTAATATTCAAAAGTGACAATAAATTAATGATTAAGTTTCAAATATGACATGTCTGCTGAATGAATTGTTTTCCCTAGTAGTAATGTATGATCATCAGCAGTTACTTAATAATGGCCCTGTGGAGATTTGGGGTTAGAATATGTCCCTAATAACCTATTCCTGCTTTTAAATGGCCCAGCAACATGTCATATTCATCAGTCACATGCCTCAGGTAGCCTTGTATTTAAAGCATTCGCTCAACACACTGAAGCCCTGTAGACCCGGGTTTGACTTTCCACATGGGTACAATATGTGAAGCTCAGTTTATTTCAATACCTCTATGAATACCTCTATAAACCAATCACTGGGTTGTCTGGTCCACACTTGATTCCATAACAGCAGCTGTGATATAGCTGGAATATTGCTGAGTGGAATGTTACGATAATCAAACGGACAAAGTCAATGAAGTGTTTTGTAACTATAATAGAGTCATAGAGGTTTACAAATTAACAAACTGGTTTGTGCAAACTCCACCCCTTATCAGTATTTGCCAACCTCTGTAGGTATTGTATCCATAGCAGCTCAGATAAACACGACAAAAAGCACTATTTTGATTCCAATATCTACACAAATAGGAGAAAAAGAGTGACAAGTTGTGAAGGCAATGCAGGGTGTGTAATTTGTGATAATGACTGCCCCAGCTTAATAATACACCGAATCCTGGTAAACTACCCTGACTCGTACAAGACAAAGTGTTGCATTAACGCGTACCAGTTAGTGAAATAAATGAGTGTCTTTGTTATCTTATTGGGAAAATTCAATTTTCTGATAGAGGGCTTGCCGTCATAATGTCTAGCGAAAAACTGCTGATATTTCTCTATTTCTCTAGACAGATTGATTTGGGGAGCATATACGCACAACCCCCTTCTCAATCAATATGCCATTCGGTCCTAATGTCAAATGAAAATTACATCCGAGAAAGAGAGGATCTTAGCAGTGGTAGAAACAAGCTTAGGCTTCCTGATTACTCTGCTACCTTTTTCAGCCCGGCGCGGCGTTACAAATCAGCATCGAATTATGGAAATTTGACAGAGCATTTTGCGGGATTACCCAATTAAGTTTCTTGGATCTAATGACAGTCTTGCCTGTCTGCTTTACTCGTAGTCGCCTGTCCGAAGATAGCTCTTGTTTTATTGGCCACTAGTGTGGAAATTCAGTATCCAGACAGAGATAATACCTGGCAATTGAAGAAAATTTGATTTGCTGTCGATTTACAGACTGTGCCATAATTCCCCATCTTTAAGGAGCAATAAAACTGTTTTGCCCGACATTGAGATTTCCACATTTGAGACAAAGCTAGACTCGTGGAGCATATGACTACTGTCTGTTCTGTTAGATAACTCATGGAAAGAAGTCGTTTGAATAGGGAAGAAAATCTGAAATCACGATACGGTTGTTCTTTACTTACGTGGACTGAGACACTTTGTGAATATATTTCTGTCAATTCTCCTGACACAAATAAGCTATTCTTGATTCTTTTAAAGGATTATGTTCAAAAACTTTCTATTCAATACACCAAATCAAGATTATTATACAGTACATTTCCAACTTCAATCAGATGTTGGCAGTGAAAACTTGATAGGGATGGTACTATTCTGAGAGGTTGTTCAGATTCACAAATCTTCAGATTCACACATCATGGGTACTTGGTGAAATGGGGTTTAACTTCACTATCAAGATTAGTGCACTGACATCATGATGTTTGCACACATGCGTGCACGTGTGACTGCTTGTTTTAGTCCAGTTTATTGTTACTCAGACACAGTATAGTGACTCCAAGCCAAACAGTCCTTGTTTTAGATCCTAAAAGTCAGGGTAACAGGCACCCATCTTTTAACATTCTTCAACGCAGCTGGGAATTGAGCCAAAGACGTCCTGAGCAAACAATCCAACCACTATGGACAGCGGTGGGGTAGCCTAGTGGTTAAAGCATTCGCCCATCACGCCGAAGACCCAGGTTTGATACCCCACATGGGTACAATGTGTGAAACCCATTTCTGGTGTCCCCTGCCGTGATATTGCTGGAATTTTGCTAAAAGCGGCATAAAACCCAACTCACTCACTATTGAAAGTGGTAGGGTAGCCTAGTGGTTAAATTGTTTGTTCATCACACCAAAGGCCTTGGTTCAGTTCCCCACATGGGTACAATGTGTGAAGCCCATGTCTGGTGTTCCCATCATGATATTGCTGGAATACTGCTAAAAGTGGTGTAAAACCATACCTACTCACTCACTCACTGGACCATGGAGGCAGTTCATGGATACTAAGCAGTGTCATGATAACTGAGATTCCACAGTGTGTATGTTCACAAGTGTGTTTGCTGGTGTACTGAAATGACATCTGTATATAATGAACATTTCAAAACTGTGTACACCTACAATATAGAACAATTTTTCTGGATAACAACTTCTTTATTTCGGGAGTGCAACGTTTCGATACAGATTTTTGTACCGTTGTCAAGCAGTGACTTGACAACCGTACAAGAATCTGTATCGAAACGTCGCACTCACGAAATAAAGAAGTTGTTATCCATAAAAATTGTTCTATATTGTACGTCTCAACTTCTAAAATGCCACTCCAACAAGTTGTGTACACATAGCAGTGATGTGACAGTTGTCCGGTGCTACACTTGTAGCAAGGGTAACTAGTATTCAAATGAACTCTTACCATCCATGCAAGGTGCTTTTTCTGGAGCAGATATCTGTCGCCACACTTTGCACATGGATAGGTCTATCGGTGAACTAGTGCTTTTTGATAGTTGATTAGGTTTAGAAAAATATTTTTCAAGTTTCAATGTCCAACTTTACGCTTCTGGAGAAAATCTTAAAAAGCATGAAATATTTTTATAATCAACTTTGCACATGGATAGGTTTAGTGATGAGTTTATGTAATTAAGAATGTTTGCACAAGTATTTTTATCCCCCGCCACACGTGACGTACGAAATGGAATATCTTAAGAACCTTTAACTAGATTCTTTTCATATTTGGTACCTAGGTTCATCACAGTATGCGAAGGGTCCCAGTCAGGCTTAGTGACCTTGACCTTCATTTCAAGGTAATAAGGAGACTTAAACGTTTTACCCTTGTCAGCAAGATATCTCAAGAACCGTACTCTGTATTTCCTTCATATTCAACACCAAGATTCATCTCGGGAAGGTGCAGGGCTCAGATGATTTTGGTGATCTTCACATAATGTTCAAGGTCACAGCGACACTTTGAAGATTTCAGCATGTTAACCTGCGTGTTAAGCTTGTCAGTGAGATACCTCAAGAACCGTTCTCTGTATTTCCTTCATATTCAACACCAAGCTTCATCTAGGGAAGGCGCAGGGCCCAGATGATTTTGGTGATCTTCACGTAAGTTTCAAGGTCATGGTGATGTTTTGAAAATTTCAGCATTGTCAGCAAGATATATATCTCAAGAACGGTTCACTGGATTTTCTTCATAGACTTTCAAGACTTCTCTTGAATGTTTTTTAATACTCCATGCCAACAAGTTTCATGTATTTATTTATGTATTTATAATTGTGGGGATATTGATGCCATTGTCTTCTTGCCTTCAGTTCACTGTAGCCATTTCTGTTTTCCTTGTTACATATTCCTACTGAAATATTGAAATACTGTGTTTATATTGCAGCCACATGGGTTGGAGGGGCGTACATCAATGGTACAGCTGAGATCATCGTCAGGGATGGGCTGGTTTGGTGTCAAGCACCCTTTGGATATGCCCTCAGTCTCATCTTTGGTAAGCACATACAATATATAAGATTTTGTACACTAGATAATTTTCAGTAAGGCCAGACCAATTTTATTTCTTGTTTTACGGATCTGCCGGTCGTATTTTGTCAAGAATAAGGAAAAAATAAAAATTAATTTTCCCCACTCAAAAAATAAAATTTTAATATTTTTATTTGCCAAAAATGTAAATGTTCAAGAAAATGTTTTTAGATTGTTTTTTGCCCCATATGCACTTCATAGAATTGCCCAAAGTAAAATACTTTAGTATTTTAAAGGAATATTACTTTGACTGGTGATTTTTATTTTTATTTTTTCCTTCCTGCCTTTAGGTTTTCTGAGGACAAAAATCCATAAAACAAGAAATGAAATTGGTGTGGCCTAATTTCTTGTGTTTCTTGTAACTCCTACAGTATCATTAGATGATGTGACTCATGTTATTGCAGTCATTTCACAATGAATGCATACAATTAAGCCATGCCCACTGAAGCAAACTACTTCTTACAACTACGTACCCTCTTGCTGTAGGTTTTGGATACATAAGAAACATTTTTGCTTATCACATGAGCAACTCTAAAACATGTCACTCACTTTTATAAGATATTTGAGCTTAATAAAACCCATCATCATCTGGATATATACAATGTGTGTGTGACACCACACCTTTCATTATAGCATGAGTAATCACAATAAACATGGCCATCCCATAACATGCACAAAATGTTGAAGAATGCCAGTTACAGTGGAGAGAAATCCAGCACACCTGTATCAATTTGCACAGGACTACTTAACAAAATTCATGCATATTCATTTTCCAAATGACCCTTTGAGGCCGACAGCCTAGAAGAAATGGAACAGCAAATGAATAGGTTTGCTTGCCAAGGTTTCACAAAATTCATGTCTGCAGGTTTCATGCCTGCAGGTTTCATTCCTAAATTACATTTTTCCTCCTGTGTCTTCCCTGTCTCCGGGAACTGATGTTTGAGTATAGGTGTTACTGACCATGTCAATCAAAACAGCCGCCTTTGCCTTGGCAGTTGTCTCCCTAAGTTTTGATTATTAGATATTTGTTTTTGTTGTGAAAAAGCTTTCTTAATTCATATTTATTGCAGCAGAACAAAACAATCTTTGAAAAGGGGATTTGTAAATCAATGATTCAAGTTGTCTTCAGATGGTTGTGACTGTCATTCCACCGACATGCAAGCTTACTTTTATTACAGGCGGATTATTCTTCGCCAACAAGATGCGATCAGAGGGCTATGTGACCATGCTGGATCCTTTCCAGTACAAATATGGGGAGAGGATGGGAGGGCTGTTGTACCTCCCAGCCCTGCTGGGAGAAGTCTTCTGGACAGCTGCTATCCTCTCAGCCCTGGGTAAATAATCATTGTTGTCAAGAATATATCATCTCTCAGATCTGGGTAACTACTCATTATTCTCAAGAACATAGCATCTGTCTGTCCGCTCTAGGTAACTACTCATTGTTCTCAAGAACATAGCATCTGTCAGCTCAGGGTAACTACTCATTGTTCTCAAGAATATAGCATCTGTCTGTCCGCTCCAGGTAACTACTCATTGCTCTCAAGAACATAGCATCTCTCAGTTCTGGATAACTACTCATTGTTCTCAAGAACATAGCATCTGTCTGTCCGCTCTAGGTAACTACTCATTGTTCTCAAGAACATAGCATCAGTCTGTCCGCTCTAGGTAACTACTCATTGTTCTCAAGAACATAGCATCAGTCTGTCCGCTCTAGGTAACTACTCATTGTTCTCAAGAACATAGCATCTGTCTGTCTGCTCTAGGTAACTACTCATTGCTCTCAAGAATATATCATCTCTCAGATCTTGGTAACTACTCATTGTTCTCAAGAACATAGCATCTGTCTGTCCGCTCTAGGTAACTACTCATTGTTCTCAAGAACATAGCATCTGTCTGTCCGCTCTAGGTAACTACTCATTGTTCTCAAGATCATAGCATCTGTCTGTCCGCTCTAGGTAACTACTCATTGTTCTCAAGAATATATCATCTTTCATTGTTCTCAAGAACATCGGTAACTACTCATTGTTCTCAAGAACTCTGTCTGTCATTGTTCTCAAGAACATAGCATCTGTCTGCAGGTCTGTCTGTCGGTTCTCTCTAGGTAACTACTCATTGTTCTCAAGAACATAGCATCTGTCTGTCCGCTCCTAGGTAACTCTTCTCAAGTCATCTTTCAGATCTGGGTCTACTCATTGTTCTCAAGAACATAGGCTAGGTAACTACTCATTGTTCTCAAGAACATAGCATCTGCCTGTCTCAGCTCTAGGTAACTACTCATTGTTCTCAAGAACATAGCATCTGTTGTCTCTCTCAAGAACATAGCATCTGTCTGTCCGCTCTAGGTAACTACTCATTGTTCTCGAGAACATAGCATCTCTCAGTTCTGGATAACTACTCACTGTTCTCAAGAACATAGCATCTGTCTGTCCGCTCTAGGTAACTACTCATTGTTCTCAAGAACATAGCATCTCTCAGTTCTGGATAACTACTCACTGTTCTCAAGAACATAGCATCTGTCTATCCGCTCCAGGTAACTACTCATTGTTCTCAAGAACATAGCTTCTCTCAGTTCTGGATAACTACTCACTGTTCTCAAGAACATAGCATCTGTCTGTCCACTCTAGGTAACTACTCATTGTTCTCAAGAACATAGCATCTGTCTGTCCGCTCTAGGTAACTACTCATTGTTCTCAAGATCTGTCAGATCTGAGTAACTATTGTTCTCATGAATACAGGATCTCTCAGCTTTGGGTAAAAACTCAGTGTTCTCACGAATGTATAATCTCTCAGCTCTGGTAACAAAACACTTTTATCATGAGTACAAAGTCTGTAAATTCCTACTCTGTGTTTGGTAACAACAATGCTATTATCATAACAACATGCTATTATCATGAATATATCATCTCAGTGTAGGAATTTCTATATTTTGGAAATCAAGGGGCAATGTCCTAGAAGAAGAGAACTTATTTCTCAGTCAAAAAACAGGTCCATGGTCTGTTACTATACTTTATAAAATGTTAGAAACGGTCGACTCATTTATTTTATTTTTGTATTTGATCATGTATCATATGTAAACTCTTTCTTGCAAAGTGGTTCCTTGGATTTTCTTACGTTTGGATTACACAGGAATGTGGGAATATAGAAACGTTTATAAGTGAATTTAGACAAAGATGTCAAGATATTGAAATTCAAAATTGGCACTCTAGGATAACATCATCTTTTCTAAAAGACTATGGAGCAATCAAGTCCGCCCTCGAACTTGAAAAATACATAATGGAACTTTATCATAACAAGGACCTTATACGCATTTTTTGCAAATTCCGCTGTTTAAGCCATTCAACAACAACGTTATAATAATAATATATATTCCAATGTATTGATATGTGACAAATGTGATTTTAATGTTACACAGGATGAATTTATTTTTTTACTTGTGTGTCCATTCTATTCTGTACAAAGAAAACTGTACTTACCTAGTTATTACCATTACGTTCCCATCAAGATTAAATTTTAAACAACTTTTAACAACAACAAATGCACATCGATTGAAGTGAATAGCATTATTTCTAAAGCGTAACTTGCCTGTATGAAAATGAACTAATTACATTGTTTTTGTCTGTCCATCCGCACAATATTGTTCTTATATGTTTGTACTCTTGGCCATGTGGCCTCAAATACTGAATAAACTTCTTCTTCTTCTTCCTTGCAGTCCTGATAAGATATATAAAACTGCATGTTTTCAGGTGCCACTCTGTCCGTAATCGTGGACCTGGACACAACGACGGCCATCATCGTGTCGTCTTGTATCGCCCTCTTTTACACTCTCATAGGGGGTTTGTACTCTGTAGCGTACACTGATGTCGTACAGCTCTTCTGCATTTTCCTGGGATTGGTAAGTCATGCATCTCAGACTCTACTCAGTCATAAATATGAAAGATTAAGAAAGAAGCCAAAATATGTGACCTGTTTTCTTTCCTTCACTATAAGAATGATGATGGTCAGGCTTGGAAGAAAGACTGACAACAATTTGGCCACACCATGGTTTAATATCAGAGACCATATTATAATATGATATGTTCTCTGTTCTGATATATATAATTTTTCATCAACTTATTGCTCAGTGAATATGTATAGGACTCTTTTTGACTTGTGAATATTTTTCATTCTCAGTGGATCAGCATTCCATTTGCAATGACCAATGAAGCTGTACACCCAATCACTGTGAATGCTACAGAGAACTGGATCAACTCTCTGGAACCCAAGAGTACTGGGATGTACATTGACAGTATGCTGCTTCTCATTTTTGGAGGCATTCCATGGCAGGTGGGTGCTTTCAGTCTTTTGTTAGCTCTGTTACTTGTACAATCACATCAAAGTTTCCATACAGGCAGAGAATCTGTTACTCTTAACATTGTATCTAGGCTTCATCACAGGCAGAGAATCTGTTACTCTTAACATTGAATCTAGGCTTCCTCAGGGGCAGAGGATCTGTTACTCTTAACATTGTATCTAAGCTTCATCACAGGCAGAGAATCTGTTTCTCTTAACATTGAATCTAGGCTTCATCACAGGCAGAGAATCTATTACTCTTAACATTGAACCTAGGCTTCACCACAGGCAGAGAATCTGTTACTCTTAACATTGAACCTAGCTTCACCACAGGCAGAGAATCTGTTACTCTTAACATTGAACCTAGGCTTCATCACAGGCAGAGAATCTGTTACTCTTAACATTGAATCTAGGCTTCATCACAGGCAGAGAATCTGTTACTCTTAACATTGAATCTAGGCTTCATCACAGGCAGAGAATCTGTTACTCTTAACATTGAATCTAGGCTTCATCACAGGCAGAGAATCTGTTACTCTTAACATAACATTGAACCTAGGCTTCATCACAGGCAGAGAATCTGTTACTCTTAACATTGAATCTAGGCTTCATCACAGGCAGAGAATCTGTTACTCTTAACATTGTATCTAGGCTTCATCACAGGCAGAGAATCTGTTACTCTTAACATTGTATCTAGGCTTCATCACAGGCAGAGAATCTGTTACTCTTAACATTGAACCTAGGCTTCATCACAGGCAGAGAATCTGTTACTCTTAACATTGAATCTAGGCTTCACCACAGGCAGAGAATCTGTTACTCTTAACATTGAATCTAGGCTTCATCACAGGCAGAGAATCTGTTACTCTTAACATTGTATCTAGGCTTCATCACAGGCAGAGAATCTGTTACTCTTAACATTGAATCTAGGCTTCATCACAGGCAGAGAATCTGTTACTCTTAACATTGTATCTAGGCTTCATCACAGGCAGAGAATCTGTTACTCTTAACATTGTATCTAGGCTTCATCACAGGCAGAGAATCTGTTACTCTTAACATTGTATCTAGGCTTCATCACAGGCAGAGAGAATCTGTTACTCTTAACATTGAACCTAGGCTTCATCACAGGCAGAGAATCTGTTACTCTTAACATTGAATCTAGGCTTCATCACAGGCAGAGAATCTGTTACTCTTAACATTGTATCTAGGCTTCATCACAGGCAGAGAATCTGTTACTCTTAACATTGAATCTAGGCTTCACCACAGGCAGAGAATCTGTTACTCTTAACATTGAATCTAGGCTTCATCACAGGCAGAGAATCTGTTACTCTTAACATTGTATCTAGGCTTCATCACAGGCAGAGAATCTGTTACTCTTAACATTGAATCTAGGTTTCATCACAGGCAGAGAATCTGTTACTCTTAACATTGAATCTAGGCTTCATCACAGGCAGAGAATCTGTTACTCTTAACATTGAATCTAGGCTTCACCACAGGCACAGAATCTGTTACTCTTAACATTGAATCTAGGCTTCATCACAGGCAGAGAATCTGTTACTCTTAACATTGAATCTACCGGTACGCTTCATCACTGGCAGAGAATCTGTTACTCTTAACATTGAATCTAGGCTTCATCACTGGCAGAGTATATGTTACAGCTAGCATGTTATCTAGATTTCACCATGGACACAGAATGTGTTACTCCCAGCATTGCATCCAGACAATGCATCTAGGCAATGTTATGATCATAAAAATATTACTTCCAGTCATGGCAAGTCTCCATTTTGCTAGTGATAAATGCCATTTCGCTTTGATCACTTGATAACTATGTTTGTAAATGTCAACAACCAGGTGACGATATTTGGACTCTATTGTGCAATGTATGCACCTTACTAGCATGAACTGAAAGAAAATCATGTAGACGTAACATTCAAAGCACTTTTGCCCAAGTTCAATGAAAAATACAACCGGTAACCACAGAGACTTTGATTCACCCCATATATGCTTCCTCAGAATGTACAGATATTGGACAATTGTGTTCAAACTTTGATGCAATCACTACCAGAGTGCTGGGGGTGTAGTAGTGATAATGATGATGTTTCTGCTGCAGGTATACTTCCAGCGAGTGTTGTCCTCCAAGTCAGCCTTCAACGCCCAGATCTTGTCCTACATAGCTGCTTTTGGCTGTGTCATCATGGCCCTCCCAGCTGTGCTGTTTGGGGCAGTTGCAGCTTCTACAGGTAAGACTAAACAGAAGGACAAGTTCGGACATTATCAGTTACAAAGAAATCATAATCAAATATCTGATCTCTCTGCTACTGAGTGTAGCTAACTTACACACAAGACAATGGTTTCTTACTGTTTCCAATCTGCAAAGGCTAAAAGAATGATATTGAATGGTACATGGAATCACATCTCACCTGATATGAGCAAGCATTTGAGTTTTAACTTTTATTGGCTCATGTTGATATATATTTCATGTTAAAAGACTCTGAGGTGAGATTTCATACCCCAACCATTTCGTTTGTAATATTTTGTTGAATGTTGTGTAACCATGGTAACTGTATGTATAATTCCATAATTATTTGATTAAACAATATGTACATAGTGGAGTCAGGTACCAGACACCATGACCCAGTCATCAGTATCATTGTCTGTTCTTAATGAGACACTCAGCAAACTCCCAGCTATGTGACAGCAGTCTGTACATAAGTCTGGCCCAGACAATCCAATTCAGTGATGGAGTGAGTGAGTGAGTTTAGTTTTACGTCGCTCTTAGTAATATTCCAGCAATATCACGGCAGGGAACACCAGAAATGGGCTTCACACATTGTACCCATGTGGGGAATCGAACCCAGGTCTTTGACGTGATGAGCAAATGCTTTAACTGCTAGGCTACCCCACCGCCCACACAGTGACTATGCAATTGGGATATGATCACATGCATCCATCAGAATGTAGGAAGACAGACTTTTCTTTCTTTTCTTGTTTTGCAAAGCTGAGTTCAGTTTCTCTATCTCTGAATGTAATGTTGGGATTAAAAATATTTGTACAACCAGCTAAATGGGTTTTTTTCAGACTGGAACCGTACATCCTACGATGGCCCTATTCCTATCCCATCTGAAAAGCTAAACTTGATCCTCCCAATGTGCCTGCAGTTCCTGTGCCCGGACTTTGTGTCATTTGTGGGCCTGGGTGCTGTGTCTGCTGCCGTCATGTCCTCAGCAGACTCCTCCATCTTGTCAGCCAGCTCCATGTTCTCCCGCAACATCTACAAGTGTATCTTCCGACAGAAGGTCAGTACAGAGAGGCAATGGAGGGAACTGACTCTTGGCTACACAGGAAATATGCCAATTAAAATGAGTGGATACACTAGCAGATAAACTTTAACATACATGAAAACTGAATACTACCCACATGAGACAAACTGATGAAATTTTGTTTAATAATATTAATAATAATAATGATAATGATAGTGGGTATAACTACGCTTGTATCCGTACGTTCAATGCATGCTCAAGGTGCTACAGAAAGGGTAAATATATGTACAATGTATAGATGAGATTACAAACAGTTGGAGTTAAATAAGGAAGAAAGGATCTACCTTTGAGGTTAGGAGGTATTTACATCGGGGTTACATCCAATAAAAAGAGTTTTTCTAGGGTTTTACAGTAAATATCAATAAATAATAGCATGATATGTTTACTGTGAGAAGTAGCGCTATCATATATGAGATGAAATATTAGACAAATTGTGCCAGTTAAAAGATACGGGCCAGTAAGTATTCCATTGCATATCTGTTTGCAATATCTTGAAAACAAATATGAAATAGAAAGTACAAAAGGAAATTAGAAGCAGTGGTAGATAGGATATCTGAAATATCCACAATCTATCTATCTATGCCCATCACTCAGTCATTTTTGTTCATATTGAAAGAAATTTGCTACATCTGTTGTCGAAAGTGGGGCTTATCATATAGGAGCTCTTTTGGGGGGAAATCATTAGATTTTAGTATTAGTTTTTCTTCCTCAGTTAATCTCTACAGAAACATTTCGTTATCTATGGTGAGAGAACATTTTCAAAGTTTATCTGAAAAGATGTGACCATTCAAAGGTTTTACAACATATCCAGGGGAGTTCCAGTGCCATGTTTCCATATATTTCTATTATCAAACTGTTTCCTAACTCATGTCAAGTTATTTACAATGTGTATTTGTATATTCTAATTAGTTAGCAGTATAACAATATACCCACCTGAACTAAAAGAATTTCATCCTCCAGCTGTGTTTCATCTTGATGCTTCTTCCTTCCAGGCTTCTGAAAAAGAGATCTTGTGGGTGATGAGATTGGCCATCTTTGGCGTGGGAGTCTTGTCCACAGTGATGGCCATCCTGGTCACCTCTATCTATGAACTGTGGTACCTCTGTGCTGACCTTGTCTACGTTGTTCTCTTCCCTCAACTCATCTGCGTCATATACGTCAAATTCAGCAACACATATGGCTCCCTCGCTGGCTATATCCTCGGACTGTTCTTCCGTCTTGCTGGGGGCGAAACAGCCATTGGTGTACAGCCATTGATCAAATATCCTGGCTTTGACTACGAGGAAAATGCACAACTGTTCCCCTTCAAGACTCTATCCATGCTAATTACCTTAATTACAATAGTGTCTGTTTCATACCCTCTCAAGTATGCATTTGAGACTGGCATCTTCCCACGAAGATACGATGTATTCATGTGTATTGTTAATATACCTGATGAAAGTATTGCCCTAGCAGCCCGAGATGGTCCCGGTGAAATGACATCAATCATAGACTCTTACAAAGACATCAATGGCAAAATTAACCCGGCCCTAAAATTCTCTCAAGATGATCTTATAGGTGAAGTGAATGCTTCTGATGTGATTCATCCACCCCCGGAGAAGCTGGCACAGTAATATGGTAGGACAATGTGTACTCGGATATCTTGAGCAATGCGAACATCATTATGTAGTTAATCAGATACCGGGTAAAACTATATCTTACCCAAATACGTGGACACTAAATGATTCTGTTATGTGATTGACATTGGAGTTTGGGTATCTAAGTACAGTAATCTTATATCCTGTGTCAGTAGTAATGCTGAAAACTAGATTAGATTGTCCGACACAGTGCTGTCAAGGTGATCACAGCATATATTGGTCAGCCGCTGGGACTCAAGGGAGACAACACATGTTATGTTTCTGCATTGAAGGCACTGGAGTGACTTGTAGCCAATGTAAATATGAAACATCAATGCCAGAGGGTAACCAGTCTCAGTTATCTACCAGAACAGATTCCACTGGGGGTAGAATCCAAAGTATTGGTGAAAATCATATGAATGATGATTTACGGGAACCTGGAATACAGATCTAGTTGGCCCCATAAATGGGATGATGATGCTGTGAAAGCGTAAGACGAATCTACTGTATTGTATCATCAATCCTGAGACCTGTGATGGTGCTTCTAAATGGAATATGTTGTTATCAAAGGATTATTGACACTTAAGGTTGAGGTACAACCCCACAATGTACTACATTGGGAATTGTTCATGTGAAGGTGTCTCAATAAATGTGAGGAACTTCACATGCTCTAAAACACATCTCACATGTAAGGATGAATCAGATCATAGATTCTCTACGGAATATGTATGTAACATTTTTGATGTGATGTTGTGTGAAGTCACAGCTACTCTACAGAATAGCACATGGTAATGTGATGGTCTTCAAGGTACACATGTGAAGGAACCACAAGAGCTATTTTTTCCAAAGTGTCAAGGTACCATATTTTCTCTTTGACATGGAATTTGATGATACTGCAATATCTAGGTGCTTCTGGGAATTTAGTTGGACAGGAGCCTCTACTGTTTTTGTGCAGGCATTATGGAGGTACCACAAGGTCAAATATTCTTCAAAGTGTGTGATAGTACCACAGGATCAAAGTTCCATCAAAGAAACAGGAGGTACCACTAGATAAACGTTTCTTCAGGAAAACTGGAGGTACCACAAGATCAAAGTTCCATCAAAGAAACAGGAGGTACCACTAGATAAAGGTTTCTTCAGGAAAACTGGAGGTACCATAAGATCAAAGTTTCATCAAGAAAAACAGATGTACCACAAGATCAACGTTTCTTACAGGAAACTTGAGGAAAAAGAAAGTTCCTTAAAAGAACACTACAAGAAAGGTTTCTTCAAAGGACATGAAGGTTTAAGATAAATTTCTTCGTAGAATATGGAGGAACAACATGATAGCTCTCACGGAACAATCAGGATCAAGACATACGATGTTCCTTTAAGATAATACGGATCATACATTCCAGATCACTGAACCTCCTTTTCCTCACAGATGAGGCTGACTGTTGCAGACGAGATTTTCCATTTTCTACAATTGTCAGCAAAATGTAGTCAGTTCTGTGTTAAATATGCAAGTTAACACGCTTCTGTCGCCAGTTGGATGATGTGATGCTGGCATTAAACTGCCGACATAGTCCGAGATACACACCTAACCATTAGTACTAGAATACAATAGAATGCTTTTCACCAATGTCATAACTTGTACAGATGACAACTACAGTTGATGCAGTGATATAAACAGATATAGATTCCATGTATTTTTCACGCTATGTAAAATGCACATGTGCGAGAGTTAGCGACATATAGTTGCATTTAGATTTGCTAATAGATATATTCTGAATGTTTGTGTGTGCAAACAGAGTATGCTTGTACAGGGTATATCCATTGTTACAGCACACTTAACTGATTGTAGAGTGCATATATGTTGTTTTGGTGATTAACATGACTGTAGCTGACAATCAGGATGACTGTCCTTTAGTCTAAACACATGCATCTATGGTGAAATGTTGCAGCTAGAGCATTTACTTGTCATTTCATAACTGAATTATTTCTTTCAAATTTTATAAACATTTATCAAGATCTGATACACAATAACAAGTAGTATTTGGGTAGACTCATCTTTGACAGCTTATGAGCTTACTGCTAAGTATCATATTATACATTTAGCTGTGTTTTATGTCCCTTGTGTGTGGATTTAGACTAACGGCGGCCAAGGGGTCCATTTCAAAAAGCGATCATATCGCTATGACTGTTGTAAGTCTATGGGAGTTACGATCAAGTTAGCACTACGATCACGTTAAACGGGGCCCTGTACGTGTGAATTGTCCTTTGTTGTCACAACATAAAGCATAAAGAGTTAACATGTTTAGCTTGAGCATTCATAGATTGTGGAACAATTTGTAAATGCATTTTCGATTTTTTGTAATGTTTCATAAAATGGCCACAAAAATTACATTCTGGTTATTTGGGCATGAGGCAAACAATCATGTTGTACAGGTTTATATCTCATTCCGTGCATTTGAGATTGACTTGTGTACAAAAATACATCTTTTTTCTGATTTCAAGTTAAGCTCAGATTTCATTGTGTCAGTACACAAGTATTATTATAAGAATGTTCTGTCCTCGAGAGGTGATACTGGGACCAAGCTAAGCTAATCAGAAAAGCTTCTGGACATGATGACAATGTGTTGAGGCAGTTCTATATTCTGTCTGTATTCTGAAGTCTTGCCCATGACAATGACAATACAAATGTTCAATATACTTGATGCAACCTTAACTAGCTGGTTATAGTGAATACAATGGCACTGTGCTGTTCGTCTCCACTTAGTGGGGCAAGCTAATGCTAAGATGCATGGTATACAGTTAGATTGCTGCCACACATATTCCTTTCTCCTAAACCTCTCTCTCATGGGCACTCACTGTCCTGAGTTGCATGCCTTCAGCATGCTTGGAGCCTATGATGATGGGTTCGAATCCTGCTTCACCCCATTCTGATCTAGGTTTGCCTCCACCATGTCCAGCATGTGGGTTTCGCAAAGTGATACGTCCGAGACCTGCGTCACTTTGATCTTTCTTCTCACATTAAGCTGACACACCGGGATATTAGGGCTACAACAATTCAACCAGACCTCGATTCGATTCAATTTTTGATATTGGACACTTGATTCGATCAATTTTTATTTGATTCTTCATGCATGTAAAAATATCAGATTTCATTTAACTCTCAGACTCAGCTTTTTTAGCGTGAAATCCATCGTCAACTTGGCTGTGTAGAAATAATTTAAGTAGGTATTCAAATATCGAATCAAAATAGTTAAAATGCTTTTTGAAAATCGAAACTTAAGGTGTCAGATTCGATTTTCAATGAATCAAACTGAATTGTTGCAGCCCTACATGATATAACTAGAAAACTAAAGAATTATGACTTTATGGATAACAACTTCTTGTTTATTGCATAGATTGACTTTTCGGTGTAGATTCTTACGCCGTTATCTAGCTAAAAGTGTCTATAATGTCTTCTGAAACTGAGTGTCTCTCTCAGACTGAGCCCTGAAGAGGACTTTCACACTCAATAATTACAAACTGATACACAGTAGAATAAATGTTGCATCCGAGGAGAATCTTGTTTTAGTTTCCAAACAATGTATCTTTGCATATTGTCACCTAACTGTATAGCATGAATGGACATATCATTAACCATGGTGCAAACTCTATAACGATAAACAGTGTATAAAGCAATATTCCTGTAGTTATGTCTAGAGTATTGACTTTTCATTCCAGCCTATTGTGAATGCTTAACACTCGAGAGTTGTATGTTCATTCAGAAAGATTTGTTAAGTCCTCCCATTTCCCACTTTGTCAAAGTCATAGCCTAATGTTGTATCATCGTGCCACTGTATGTATAATCATTAAAGTAAAGGTGCAGGCATTGATTTGTCTGTGTAGAATCAGTCCACGCCCTCATTATTACCTCACAAATATACAAGTATGGATCGCTCAGGTCCAAACTATGGTATTTTTCCTGGTCATGGCATCCTTTAGTTTTCCATTGAAGCAAAAACAAGAAACATGACATCAATATTTTCCTCTTCATTTTTTTTTCCAATCAGTTGAGTTGATCCTGGTGATATCTACATGCTAATGAATTGTAATTAATCAGGATACAGGAAGTTTTCTCTTGAAGAATCAATTTTCATCAATATCACAAATTAGGGAACAACATTTACATCCCACGCTTTTCTGAAGTACAATGTCATGAAAACAACTCATGAAAAGCTGTCCTCATTAAGTTAGGCCTCTAGTCTATAAAAGGTAAATTTAAGAGGATATTTCAAAAATTAAAAACAAAAAGCATTCATTGGAAAATACAAGATTGACAATATAGTTATTATGTAAGTATTGACCTGGTCCAGAGTCAACCTTTAATCATTGTCTCTTATGCATCACCCACTTATGTAAGTGTTATTAGCTTGAAAGTTGGGAGGTAAACAGAGGTAGGCTTCTGATCCAACAAGTACCAATGTTGATAAATTAACTGAGCATTTTTTCATTTGCAAAGGGAATCAGGGAGGGTAACCAAAATTTATAAATCTCAAGACAAGGATAACAAAAAAATGAAACAGATATTTGGGGAGGGTTATGAAAAGAGACAAACATTTTAAAATAGACTATAAAATGCTTTTGCAATTTGTTTTTACATGGAGGATCATGAAAAATATCTACAAGGATATGTGGAAGGTCACATTACCTACCATATGACAAACCTGAGGGGAGGGTAAATATTTTCAATACATCAGAAAACCTCTGACCCACCTCCCTGTATGTAATAAATGACCATTCCCACAGTTTCATAAATTTTTCCACTCATGCAAAAAACAAAACAAAATGCCAAGGAAACCATGATCCAAGAAATAAAAGGATACAGCCATGTCATTCCAAAACAGACCTTTTCCAGATTCTCAAATATACTGAGGGTAATAAATAAGGGGACACATGAAAGATCAAGTGCTCCTATGTTTTCTTCCAGGTTTCTTGTCAAGCTTTCAATTGAACTGTGGGTGAAAATCTGAGAAAAAAACAGGAACACTGTGATCAGGTGATGTTCCCTTATTTCTTTCCCTTAGTATAGTTTCAAGATGGCACATTGCAGAGAAGCGTTAAACAGTATATTTCATCTTAGTAAAGTCTGCTAGTTCTGGAATGTTGTCTGGGTGATATGCCTCGTGAGGGAGATATAGCCTTGTATTTAATTCATCCAGTCTAAAACAGATATCAGTCTACCATTTCATATTTGTTTTCCGTGTTGGGACTGATTTTATTGGTGTGATCATTGTTGACCTACACTCCATGTGATTTCTTTTGTAAATGGAATGTACATTTTACGAGTCTATTTTAGCAAGAATTTTAGAATAATATTTACATGTATATGTGAAATGAAAGAATAGTATTCAAATGTGAATTGTTATTTTTACGTGAACCGGTTGTTATACAAGGATGTTGTCTGTTGTTACAAGCTGTGTGTTGAAGTTGAATTTATCATACTCATTCTGTTTGTAGACAGCCTTCACTGGTGCTGTGTTGGATTTCAAAGCTATATGGGCCAAGCTGGGCAGATATATATTTCATATGTGAAACAGGGATATTGTCTGGGTGTAATAAGAAAAACTGTAACTACTAGATCATTTAATGTCAGGAAATATAAGTAGGCAAACTAATACATTTCATAACATATGTTCATTTGGAATTACACTTCTGAGTAAAGTACTGATTCTAGTACTTTTTTTTAGGGTAGGGTAACATCCGGGATTCAAACCCACACTCTTCAGAGTTAACCACCTAATCACCAGCAACCTAATCACAATATCTGATAAAAGTTGTTTTAGGAGTTGAATCAAACTTGCTGGGGTTGTTATTTTCCCAGGGCTTAGTCCCCGTTTAACACTGGTGAATGTGTGCCATCAGGCTGTATGAAGCTGGATGAAAGTAGAGATGAGACCACAGTATGGTATCTATCACAATGAAAAGGATATTTGATGAGAGAATTGTTTGTACAGTGAAGCCCTATGGTAATATTGATGGGTTTAAACGCTGCGGTCCTACTATCTCACAGCATTAGTGGTTCTTACTTGTAAACAAGGCTTAGAGAGGAATAGAAATATTGTAATCTGTAGTAATGGTTTTGCGAATAAGTTTAATTTTTGAAGAAAGCTGCTAGATTGTCACATATATTGTTAAGTTTATCTAGCACATGTTACTACACAGGCTTGAAATTGCATTTGCAATATAGATCATATATGTTGTGCGGTTATAGTTTCTGAATGTCAGATTCATTAATAATAATAATAATAGTGCCTATTTATAGTGCGCACAAATCCACGCTCGTAAGCATGCTCATGGCGCTACAATTAAAACAATATGTACAGTAAGAGTGAACTGTTTATGAGTCATAGAACTGAATGAAAAGGTGCGTTTTGAGGTGGCTTTTAAAGGAGTCCAGAGTTGGTGCGAGCTTCAGGTCAAAGGGTAAAGAGTTCCACAAGACCGCGGCAGTGTGTGAGAAGGATCTGTGACCGAAGGTCTTAAGCTTGTAGGGAGGTACTGTCAGGAGATTCTGCTGTTGTGACCGCAGTTCACGGGCTGGAACATACAGAGTTATGAGTTCAGATATGTAAGGAGGAGACTGACCATGAAGTGATTTATATGTGAGACAAAGTATCTTGAACTGTATTCTGGCCCTGTTTAAGCACCGGCGTGATGTGAGTCTGGTTAGAAGAACGGTTTATTATCCTTGCGGCAGTATTTTGGACCTTCTGTAGCTTGTCCAGTAGAAAATCACTGAGGCCAGAGTAGAGGCTGTTGCAGTAGTCCAGTCTACTGAGAATAAGGGACAGTTTATATAATTTTGAAATCAACCAGTGCACGTATGATCAGTATAAAATGCACAACAGGAACTCAAATGCTGCCTTTCTTTATCTATGTGTGCAAGTTGTGATCGTGGCTTTTGTGGAATATTTTTGTAGTATATGCATAACCATATTTACTGATTGAAGTCTTAAGTGTTGAGGCCTGAAGACTGTTGAACATCTGAGGGTCTGTATATGCTGAATGCTACTGGGAGATAGTTCTTATCTTGGACTAGCCAAGAGGCAAGCAGAATGAGTATCATAAACACACTGCATATATATGTAAAGTCATCAAGTGATTTTATCAATGTTTCACGATTATCATGCCTGTGATATCAACATAGTATACAAGAATGATAGTGTAATATTATGAAGGCTACAATTGCGTATTTTCATTAGATTTTTGCAGTATCATTATCTAGAAAGACAACTCCATGATATGTAGATTTACAGGTGTTAAACATCAGTTCCAGCCATTGGTCATCAATTTCAACAAAGATGTCTTCTGGACAGTAGTAAGGTGACACTAACTTTTACCATGCTCAATGTCATATCGGTGGATTAGATTTAATACTGATATATAATCCATAAACAAAAACATTTAAATTAATGCCCCCTCATGTGTTGCAGAGATGAGTCGAGGGCTAAAGATTTGAGGACACATTTTGTTATTACATGTCTTACTATCAGGAGAAAGGGAACTTACGTTATAAGATGTTAACCTTTGATCAAAATTCCACTGGGCAATACACACATAAAATTCAATAATAAGCATATGTTTTGTCATTTTGTCAAACAAAGAGTAATTATCTTTCAATTATTTTTTATGGGGAGAGGGGGTTGGGGATATCTGCCAATGTATACTATCCATCAAAAGTTTAGACTCACTAGTGTAAATATAGCCACTTACTCCAGTCAACTGTTCTAAACTAGCTTTTGCAAAATATTCCATACTGTTAAGGGTGCTGTTTACACATGAACTGATGTATTGTAAAACAAATTCATTCGTAACATTGAAAAGATTATTGTAATGAGTTCAAAAAGTGATTAAACTTGTGAAAATTGGTGAATTCTTAACAAAAGTTAACACCAAAACGCAGTTGTTCACATGCACAATATAAGTTGATGCATGATACTCGTGCAATTCACCTGCATAAGGTTTGCAATTGGTCCCCCCAGTGGAGAAATTCATCTTCAATGTAACCATATATGATTGCATAACATATAGTGAGGGCTTTAAATGAGTCTAAACTTTTGATGGGTAGTATAGGATCTGGTTTACTGAAGTCCAGGAAGTGATACTGCATCAATCAAATCATCCTAGTGTTAGTGGAACTAGATGAGTAGATGTGCTGTTTGTGAGTGTAACATAAAGAGGTAGTCCTATAATACACTTGATGTTGACAACATTCACTGGTATAGATGGATTCCTCCACATGTTCATCAACACTTGGGTGAAACTGACTGAGCGGTTTGAGTTTCGTCGGTATGTATTTCAATCTGAAGCTGATTTCTTTAAATCACTCAGACTGAAATAGTCACATAGTATTGGACTGTTGTTTGATGATTTCTATCAAGAACAAATGTGAACGTATAACTTGAGCTCCACTCCACAAAATGTGTTGAGTAAATGAACGTGTGTGTTTCCTGCGGCAAGTTTGTAATGATATCAGCATAAATGTTCCACTAAACTTGAGACATGGAACCCAGGGAATTTGAATGATGCAATGCAAGAGAAAGATTTGTCTCCAGCAAGTGTTCAAGTGTCAAGGTTCAGCTCTATCTATCCTACCATGGTAAACGACTGCACATTTTCCAAAACTCTATTGAGAATTATATTTATGTATAACTGAACTTTGAGAAAGATCAAGAATGAGATCATTTTGAATAAACATGACATGGAGTTTCTAAAATATGAAAGAATACTAAAAAGCTGTTTTAAGTGATACAACAGATGGTAGGTAGAGACAAACTTTGACACTAAGTGTTATCAAGCGAGCACATGGTGCAGTGCATGTTTTGCCATGTATATTGTGTATATATTCAGAGCTTTATCAAACATTCATCAGACAGTAGTGACAAAGATAATCAAAAATACAATAAAAAGATGGCATGTGATACCAGTGTTCTTCATTTTGTTTTAGAACATCATCTGCACCTTTCTTTAGTCCAAGATTGCCGAAATCTGCACAGTACACATTCCAAATCCTCCAGCTGCCATGGCTCTTATTTAACAGTAGCCTGCTGTGATTGCTTTTATGAACATTCAACATCATCCTTCAGTACTTGTCACAGAGTTTATATCCTGAGTACTTGTCATAGTAAACATTCAACATCATCCTGCAGTAATTGTCATAGTAAACATTCAACATCATCCTGCAGTAATTGTCATAGTAAACATTCAACATCATCCTGCAGTAATTGTCATAGTAAACATTCAACATCATCCTGCAGTAATCAACATCATCCTGCAGTAATTGTCATAGTAAACATTCAACATCATCCTGCAGTAATTGTCATAGTAAACATTCAACATCATCCTGCAGTAATTGTCATAGTAAACATTCAACATCATCCTGCAGTAATTGTCATAGTAAACATTCAACATCATCCTGCAGTAATTGTCATAGTAAACATTCAACATCATCCTGCAGTAATTGTCATAGTAAACATTCAACATCATCCTGCAGTAATTGTCATAGTAGACATTCAACATCATCCTGCAGTACTTGTCACAGAGTTCATATCCTGAGTACTTGTCATAGTAAACATTCAACATCATCCTGCAGTAATTGCCATAGTCAACATTAAACATCATCCTGCAGTAATTGTCATAGTAAACATTCAACATCATCCTGCAGTAATTGTCATAGTATTCAAGATCATCCTGCTGTAACTGAGATTGTAAACATTCAACATCATCCTGCTGTAACTGCCATAGTGTTCAACATCATCCTGCTGTAACTGCCATAGTATTCAACATCATCCTGCTGTAACTGCCATAGTATTCAACATCATCCTGCTGTAACTGCCGTAGTATTCAACATCATCCTGCAGTAACTGCCATAGTATTCAACATCATCCTGCAGTAACTGCCATAGTATTCAACATCATCCTGCTGTATCCTGCAGTAACTGCCATAGTATTCAACATCATCCTGCTGTAACTGCCGTAGTATTCAACATCATCCTGCAGTAACTGCCATAGTATTCAACATCATCCTGCTGTAACTGCCATAGTATTCAACATCATCCTGCTGTAACTGCCGTAGTATTCAACATCATCCTGCTGTAACTGCCATAGTATTCAACATCATCCTGCTGTAACTGCCATAGTATTCAACATCATCCTGCTGTAACTGCCGTAGTATTCAACATCATCCTGCTGTAACTGCCATAGTATTCAACATCATCCTGCTGTAACTGCCATAGTATTCAACATCATCCTGCTGTAACTGCCATAGTATTCAACATCATCCTGCTGTAACTGCCATAGTATTCATTATCATCCTGCTGTAACTGCCATAGTATTCAACATCATCCTGCTGTAACTGCCATAGTATTCAACATCATCCTGCAGTAACTGCCATAGTATTCAACATCATCCTGCTGTAACTGCCATAGTATTCAACATCATCCTGCTGTAACTGCCGTAGTATTCAACATCATCCTGCTGTAACTGCCATAGTATTCAACATCATCCTGCTGTAACTGCCATAGTATTCAACATCATCCTGCTGTAACTGCCATAGTATTCAACATCATCCTGCTGTAACTGCCATAGTATTCAACATCATCCTGCTGTTACTGCCACAGCAAACATTCAACATCATCCTGCTGTAACTACCATAGCAAACATTTAAACATCATCCTTCACTTGGAAATGGTTTAAACTGTTCTGACAACAAAAGTCACACACTGTATACCTTAGCTTAATGTCCTTCCCTCTGAATGTCTCATGGGATTCACACTGGTTATTATACTACATCCAGAGGAAAGAGGAAGTATGGTGCAGTAGTCCCATCAGTGAACAAAGTCTTCTACCTGGACACAGCAGTGCTAGGAGTATGGTTCTTTGACCTTTTCTATTTCTTCTATGGGTCAGTCTTTCCCTGTTAGAGGCTGTTCTCCACCTGGTGAAGGACATGAGCCTTCAGTCTTTGACACTATATTCAGCAGTGCTAATAGTATGGATTTGTACTTGTTCTTGAGTCAGTCTTTCCTGATGATGCCCACAAGTGAACTGGGAAACTGAAGTTGCTCTTCCCCTGCTGGAGGAGGTGAGGCTTGATAGTCTACACTGGTTGAAATAATGCTAGAAGTGAGGCTGAAAGTCATGCTCCTACATTCTAGGAATTAGTACCTGACGATGCCCACTATTTCACTGGATGACCAAGGTGGTTCTCCACCTGCTGGAGGAGGTGAGGTTTGACATTTTTCTTTAGCTCCAACATGCACTGCAACCGACAGAACAAATGTACACTGCTAAACACGACCAATGTTAAAAGATGCATTTCTGTTTGTACATTGTATTCATTATTTTACCATTACAGTTGACTCACAGACTATTTATTACAGTGAATCTGAGACTTCAACATATTATAAACAGACAGCTGAATTGTACAGCCATGTCAGTGGTTAATACCCATTTCAACAATCAGTTTCAGAAGAGTAAGCAACACTTTCACTCTCATCAAATATCCATGAAGTTGTAAGGGTTGCTCCTAAACTGACATGGTGGCACTTACTGGGACACTGTGTTAAGACGTGTCACAGTTTAAAGTTCAGGGCTCCTTTCACAAAGCAACCTTTACTAAGGTTAACCTGGACTCCCATTCTTTAACATTGCACTAAGGTTACCTTAGTGACTTACAATCACCTTAGTGCTTTGTGAAAGGAGGCCCAGATTTGTGAACAACAATGCCATCTTCATAAACTGTGGTTTACTTTAACTTTACTGATCATACCATGGATCTATATTTGTATAATACCCCAAAACTGACCTTTGTGTAGCTATTGTCAGTATACGAGACTTACAGTATTCGAGAAGGTCATGAAATACAACTGAGTTGTGGAAGTTACTGAACCATTGACAATATGTGTGTGACTCTTTCAGTCTCCTCTTCCTGTAGGGGGGACTTCAGCACTGTATGTAGAAAGGTGTCCCCCGACACAGCTATCAGTTTCTGGCATGTGGGGAAGTCACTCAGCTGATGATGTAATAGGTTTGATATATACATTTCATTTCATACATTGGCATTTCATTTCACACTTATTTCATTCAGTTTTTCCAGCATGGCAAACATGCACATCTTCTATCATTGTGCTTATGCAATTTAGTTTTCGCATTCTGTCATTGCAATATATGTTTCTGAGCTCTGATAACAAAACAACTAATTTTGGAGAGAAAAAATGTCATAAACTGTTTGATTACATGGCATATGAATTATGGTCATCTACACAGTCACATCTGATGAAAATCTAGACCTGTTTGTTGAAGCGAGACTACTAAAGTGCACAGTTTCAAATTAAAATAGTATCTATTAAAATCCAGTAAGATTACCTGTAATTTCAAAACAAAGTATGCTTTTATCTTCTAATTGCCTTTTTCAAATTAGGATGAACTCTTAGTTTCATGTACATGCTGGTACCAAAATCTGAGTTTACAGAAATATATAGTGTTGTTTTAATGACTTGGATCCAAGCAGCTGAGATTGTCACTCTGCTAGAGCCAAGTCCCCCTTTAAGGGTGTCTAGTGTGTCTTCGCGAAGGATAGTGACCAGACAGTAAGGGACTACAAGGGGTTGCATTACACAACACATTTACCATCTGTATAACCTTTAGCACCTGCTGGCTCAGACCCACATGGTCCAAGGAGGCGTGCAGCATGGTCTCCAGCCACAGCTTGTTCCAGGGCTGGCTCGACAGGTGGCTGGCTGCAAATTAAGATTCATCTTTAAATATAAATGTGATAAGGTTTTACCACACAAAAAAATCACTTGTACTGATCGGGACATGTACTAATAATGTACAACCCATGGAATCAAAGCCTCATTTGGAGTTGATTAAATTATCCATTACTTTTCACAACTACCTGGAACTATTGCAATTTAATTACATTAGGGATTAGGATCTTAAAAAAATACTAACAGTTCGCATACAAAACTTAAACTAAACCTGTGTACTGAGATTAAAGCTTACAAAATATTCCAGTCAAAGAACTAGGAGTTTGACAATATAAGATTGAAATCTAAACAATTTCAATAATGGACTGAATCTGTTTCTTGTTTAAATTAGTAGAAGAAAGACTTCCTACCTAGAGCCTTGTGTTCTGTGGCAGCGTATATGTACAGCTTGTATATACACTCCAATGCACAGTTGAATACAACTGGACAATCCTGGAAACAGTGCACACATTTTATTTACCTATTAATGAGACAATTTAGAACGTAAACTTGAAAAGATAGAGTCATGAGGTTATGTTGCTCACCTGAATATTTCCGGAAATGTTCTCATAAAGGATCAGAAAGGTCATACCATACCATGGTTAAAACAAATATGTAAAAGTTAAAATAGATATTCGAAACAAGTGACATACTTGCAGCATATTCATTATATGACACATTGGTAAAGCTGCCCAGCAAGACACCATGGCACTACTGGAAACCATGTGGTACACAATGGTCAACAACTGTAGATGTGTTATATCACATTGTAAACCAAAAGTCACTGTGTTCTTTAATCTGATTGGTTGAAAAACGGAAATTCGCTGCGTATTAATACGTACAAACATCGCACACACCATTGTATTGTTACGTCGTCAGCTGTGATGACGTCATTCAAATCATATTGTGACGTAAAGTCCGAATGATGTCACAAATGAGCCGTTCCAGATGCTACCATGGGAGACAGCCGAAACGGCCGGCTGATGACATTTCACTGCTGTACCCATACTCGATGTCAATGAGTGCAGACACAAAAACATGTGTTGACTGTTTGGTTTACTTTTGTGTTTACAATGTTGATAAACATCCTGTGTTGGCCAATTTCCGGGTGTTATTGAGTATTTGAAGCATGGGAATCCATTTGGAACAGACGGCTTCAAATACTCAATAACACCCGGAAATTGGCCAACACAGGATGTTTATCTCCTAAATCTACTGCATAGTATATATGTGTAATTTGGCATACCACATACTTACATATAAATGTTCAAAAATAATCCTACAGAAAATGTCTGGGTAATGGGCACATTTTCAATACTTCTACTTCTGGGATAACATACAGAAAATTCCATTCACAGCAAGGTGTCAGCTTTATAAGCCTTGTTATAATTGTCCAAAGTATCAAAGTTAACTAACTCGAGAGACAGGAAAATGGACTACATGCCATAATAAAATCTTATTTTGCTATCAGTTGGGTGAATTAAAAACGGAAAAACAAGTTTTGTTACACTGATTTTCATTAAGGGTGTATCTCAAAAGCAAGGATGAATTGGTAAAGACTCATATACAGAAGTCCTGTAATTGGGACCCGTGAAGATCCGGGTTAGAATGAATCTTCAGTAACCCATGTTCGTCGTAAGAGGCGACTAACGGGATTGGGTGGTCAGGCTCACTGGCACATGTCATCGGTTCCCAATTGCCCAGATCGATGCTCATGCTGTTAATCAATGGATTGTCTGGTCCAGACTCAATTATTTACAGTCTGCTGGAATATTGCTGTGTGCGGCGCAAAACTAAACTCGCTCACTCAATCACTCCTGTAATTGGGAAGGAGGGTATATTCTTTAAGATTGCTGCCTGTCTTCCACAACATGGAGTCACACTGTGTTGACTGATGAAAAGCTACACAGACATAACTACCTGACAAGCCTGCTGCTGGAGATGGAAGTAGAGAGTCCTGACATTGCTGGTTGTGAATAGAGGAGTATCCTGTATAAGTCTGTCCCTACTGAACACTACTGGACCGTGTGTGCTGGGGTGGGCAGATAGGGCTGCAGACAGCAGACAGAGGCCTCCAGTAGCTGGAATACCTGTTATGACAGCATCCATCAGGAAGCTGTGGCTCACATGGATTTGGTGGGGGGCCTGCAGTAGGAGTCAAAAACATGGAGATTAACGGAATTCAAATAGTCTTCCTTGTCTTACTAGTGTTGTCACGCTGTCCATTGATGGTTAGGGTAGCCACTCTGTCCTCATCTGGTTTGTGTGTTCTCTGTCCACCTCTACCTAATGTGGTCTCTCTGCCTACAATGAGCTAGTGTGGTCTCTCTGTCCAACTCGGGGCGGTGGGGTAGCCTAATGGTTAAAGCGTTCGCTCGTCACGCTGAAGACCCGGGTTCGAATCCCCACATGGGTACAATGTGTGAAGCCCATTTCTAGTGTCCCCCATCGTGATGTTGCTGGAACATTGCTAAAAGCGGCGTAAAACCAAACTCAGTCAGTCAGTCAGTCTCTGTCCACCTCAAGCTAGTGTGGTCTCTCTGTCCACCTCAAGCTAGTGTGGTCTCTCTGTCTACATCAAGCTAGTGTGGTCTCTCTGTCTACATCGAGCTAGTGTGATCTCTCTGTCCAACTCAAGCTAGTGTGGTCTCTCTGTCCACCTCAAGCTAGTGTGGTCTCCCTGTCTACATTGAGCTAGTGTGATCTCTCTGTCAACCTCTAGCTAGTGTGGTCTCTCTGTCTACCTCAAGCTAGAGTGGTCTCTCTGTCCACCTCAAGCTAGTGTAGTCTCTCTGTCTACATCAAACTAGTGTGGTCTCTCTGCCTACATCGAGCTAGCATGGTCTCACTGCCTACATCGAGCTAGAGTGGTCTCTCTGTCCACCTCAAGCTAGTGTGGTCTCTCTGTCCACCTGAAGCTAGTGTGGTCTCTCTGTTTACATCGGGCTAGTGTGATCATTCTGTCTACATCGAGCTAGCACGGTCTCTCTCCCTTCATCGAGCTAGAGTGGTCTCTCTGTCCACCTCAAGCTAGTGTGGTCTCTCTGTCCACCTCAAGCTGGTGTAGTCTCTCTGTCTACATCAAACTAGTGTGGTCTCTCTGCCTACATCGAGCTAGCATGGTCTCACTGCCTACATCGAGCTAGAGTGGTCTCTCTGTCCACCTCAAGCTAGTGTAGTCTCTCTGTCCACCTCAAGCTAGTGTGGACTCTCTGTATACATCAAACTAGTGTGGTCTCTCTGTCTACATCAAACTAGTGTGGTCTCTCTGTCTACATCGAACTAGTATGGTCTCTCTGTCTACATCAAACTAGTGTGGTCTCTCTGTCTACATCAAACTAGTATGGTCTCTCTGTCTACATCGAACTAGTGTGGTCTCTCTGTCTACATCAAACTAGTGTGGTCTCTCTGTCTACATCAAACTAGTATGGTCTCTCTGTCTACATCAAACTAGTGTGGTCTCTGTCTGTGGTCTCTCTACATCAAACTAGTACTGTGGTCTCTCTGTCTACATCAAACTAGTGTGGTCTCTCTGTCTACATCAAACTAGTGTGGTCTCTCTCCACCTCTAGCTCATGTGGTCTCTCTGTCCACCTCTAGCTAGAGTGTTCTCCTGTCTACATCAAACTACTGTGGTCTCTCTTCCTACATGAAACTAGTGTGGTCTTTCTCTGTCTACATCAAACTAGTGTGTGTCTCTCTGTCTACATCGAAACTAGTGTGGTCTCTCTGTCTACATCAAACTAGTGTGGTCTCTCTGTCTACATCAAACTAGTGTGGTCTCTCTGTCTACATCAAACTAGTGTGGTCTCTCTGTCTACATCGAACTAGTGTGGTCTCTCTGTCTACATCAAACTAGTGTGGTCTCTCTGTCTACATCAAACTAGTGTGGTCTCTCTGTCTACATCAAACTAGTGTGGTCTCTCTGTCTACATCAAACTAGTGTGGTCTCTGTCTACATCAAACTAGTGTGGTCTCTCTGTCTACATCGAACTAGTGTGGTCTCTCTGTCTACATCAAACTAGTGTGGTCTCTCTGTCTACATCAAACTAGTGTGGTCTCTCTGTCTACATCAAACTAGTGTGGTCTCTCTGTCTACATCAAACTAGTGTGGTCTCTCTGTCTACATCAAACTAGTGTGGTCTCTCTCCACCTCTAGCTCATGTGGTCTCTCTGTCCACCTCTAGCTAGAGTGTTCTCCTGTCTACATCAAACTACTGTGGTCTCTCTTCCTACATGAAACTAGTGTGGTCTTTCTGTCTACATCAAACTAGTGTTGTCTCTCTGTCTACATCGAACTAGTGTGGTCTCTCTGTCTAAATCAAACTAGTGTGGTCTCTCTGTCTACATCAAACTAGTGTGGTCTCTCTGTCTACATCAAACTAGTGTGGTCTCTCTGTCTACATCGAACTAGTGTGGTCTCTCTGTCTACATCAAACTAGTGTGGTCTCTCTGTCTACATCAAACTAGTGTGGTCTCTCTGTCTACATCAAACTAGTGTGGTCTCTCTGTCTACATCAAACTAGTGTGGTCTCTGTCTACATCAAACTAGTGTGGTCTCTCTGTCTACATCGAACTAGTGTGGTCTCTCTGTCTACATCAAACTAGAGTGGTCTCTCTGTCTACATCAAACTAGAGTGGTCTCTCTGTCTACATCAAACTAGTGTGGTCTCTCTGTCTACATCAAACTAGTGTGGTTTCTCTGTCTACATCAAACTAGAGTGGTCTCTCTGCCTACATGGAGCTAGCATGGTCTCTCTGACTACATCGAGCTACAGTGGTCTCTCTGTCCACCTCAAGCTAGTGTGGTCTCTCTGTCCACCTCAAGCTAGTGTGGTCTCTCTGTCCACCTCTAGCTAGTGTGATCTCTCTGTCCACCTCAAGCTAGCATGTCAAAAAGACCACCTCTTGCTAGTGAGGTCACCAGTGTTCACATCTGGCTTGTCTAACTTACCTGACTGTCTGGTGCTGCTGAAGATGCCAGCCAGGCGACCAGCCTCATCACCGAGTCCAACTCCGCCTGGCACCCACCTGACAAAATTCTCTCCAGCTTCACCACGAAGCCTTTGTTTTGGACAAGGATTGGACTGACTGAAAATAAGCACACAACACATAATTTCTGAGTCAGTTTCCATGTGGTATTGAAAATGTAATGTTGAAAAAAGCAACTGCTTTTGATGTCAATACATCTAACTATAACATAAACACAGAAAGCTCCATTTTCTTTGCAAAGTTTATGAGTTTCTACAAAAATATATCTAACAGAATGACCTTGCTGTTTTGCTGATTACCCTATATCCATTATGCATTTAAATATATATAAATAACAATTTTCGTTCATTTCAGTAAGACCAAACTGACGCCAATTGAAAATTCAATTGTGCATGAATACTATTTATACCTTGTATATGTCCCAAATGGGTATCATTGACACTGAAATACAGATGTACATATAGTCTAATACTAATTTAATAATGTGTTCCTGACTATTGCTGAGTTTGGGCTGTGCTTGTTTTGTTTATTTTATTTTAATAAATAATGAAGATGGCTTGTTGTTGTTATTTATGAACATTAAAGAAGGTTTTAGAGTGACCTTTCAAGTGTTACCTTAGGGAGGTCATGGTTATCCAATCAAAATTAATAAAATGAGGTCAACCTCTTAAAACACAGTTGCGATGTACAGATTCAGTATGTCACCACTAGATTCTTTAGGTAATAAAAGATTCTTTAGGTAATACAAGTTTCTTTAGGCAATAAGTAAGGAGAATACATGTTCATATCAATTAAGACACTCATAATACAAAGGATATATTTGCCAGCATTGAGGGTTAGCCCAGGAACACTTACCACAGAGACAATCAGTAGTGACACGGTCCTCTGTGTATTTCAACAGGTACTCCACACAGTATTTTACACTTTCACTTTGCGTGTCATCTTTTTTACTTCCAACAAACTTCACCACTAGAAACATGAGGAAATGCATCAGTTTCATTCTAGGCTGCTGCATGAGCTGAACGTGATGGAAGAATGTGACTTGTTTGGGATGTTTAGAATATGATAGTTGGTTCAAGAATGTGGGATCAAACATTAGTGTATGAGTTACCTCTGGGATATGATTATGGCACCAGGGCTGATTATGGGATATGACAGTGAGAAAGGCTAAATGGGACAGTGGGATTAAGGTTCACTGTGGATTATAACTGTAACATCAGGGCTGACTAAGGGATATGATAGTGATCAAGGCTAACTGGGACGTGACAGTTGGGTCAGGGCTGACTGTGAGATATGACAGAGGGATCAGGTCAGACTGTGAGATATGACAGAGGGATCAGGGTCAGACTGTGGGATATGACAGAGGGATCAGGACTGACTGTGGGATATGACAGAGGGATCAGGACTGACTGTGAGATATGACAGTTGGATCAGGACAGACTGTGGGACATGACAGAGATAGGATCAGGGATCTGACAGACTGTGGATATGACAGAGGATCAGGATGACTGTGGCAGACTGTGATATGACAGATAGATCAGGGCAGACTGTGGAATATGACAGAGGGATCAGGGTGGACTGTGGGATATGACAGAGGGATCAGGGCATGGACTGTGGGATATGACAGAGGGATCAGGGCAGACTGTGGGATATGACAATAGCATCAGGGCAGACTGTGGGATATGACAGAGGGATCAGGGTGGACTGTGGGATATGACAGAGGGATCAGGGTAGACTGTGGGATATGACAGAGGGATCAGGACTGTGGGATATGACAATAGCATCAGAGCAGACTGTGGGATATGACAGAAGGATCTGGGCAGACTGTGAGATATGACAGAGGGATCAGGGCGGACTGTGAGATATGACAGAGGGATCTGGGCAGACTGTGGGATATGACAATAGCATCAGGGCAGACTGTGGGATATGACAGAGGGATCAGGGAGGATGGACTGTGGGATATGACAGAGGGATCAGAGCAGACTGTGGGATATGACAGAGGGATCAGGGCAGGACTGTGGGATATGACAGAAGGATCAGGGCAGACTGTGAGGATATGACAAAAAGCATCAGGGCAGACTGTGGATATGACAGAAGGATCTGGGCAGACTGTGAGATATGATGAGAGGGATCTGGGTGGACTGTGAGGATATGACAGGGATCTGGGCAGACTGTGAGATATGACAAGACTAGCTCTGGGCAGACTGTGGGAGATGAGAGGGATCATGACAGAGTGAGATATGACAGAGGGATGGGCAGACTGTGAGATATGACAATAGCATCAGGGCAGACTGTGGCAGAGGGATGTGGGTGGACTGTGGGATATGACAGAGGGATCAGAGCAGACTGTGAGATATGACAGAGGCAGACTGTGGGATATAACAGAGGGATCTGGGCAGGTGGGATATGACAATAGCATCAGGGCAGACTGTGGGATATAACAATAGGATCAGGGTGGATTTTGGGATATGAAAGTTGGTTCAGAGTGGGCTGTGCAAAATGATAATGGGATCAGGGCAGACTGTGAGATACGACAGAGGTGAGTGAGTGAGTTTAGTTTTACACCGCACTCAGCAATATTCCAGCTATATGGCTGAGGTCTGTAAATAATCGAGTCTGGACCAGACAATCCAGAGATCAACAACATGAGCATCGATCTGTGCAATTGGGAATCGATGACGTGTGTCAACCAATTCAGCGAGCCTGACCACCCGATCCCGTTAGTCGCCTCTTATGACAAGCATGGGTTACTGAAGGCCAATATTCCAACCCGGATCTTCACGGGTCGATATGACAGAGGGATCAGGACAAATCTTAAACTCTTATACAATGAAAGGTAATCTTAAAAGCATGAATAATTAAATAACATCTTCCTCATAAATGATCATTTGTGTGCCATAAATATCTTACCATGATAAACACTCTTTACACTGAAAGCATCAGAAGTGTTGCAGTCACTGCCTTTCATCAAAATAATCATTACCTTGAGCAGGTTAATCACTTGGTAGTCTGTAACCAAACATATCTGGGATTACAAAGCATCATTGTTTATAGAAAATATAAAAAAGTTGCAGAATTTCTGTTAAACAAATACATCAAAAGCATTTGTTGTTTCTTTTGTAGTTTTAAGATGTAGACATGTTGTTGTTTTTTTGTTTCTGCTTATTAAATCTTTAGATCACTTCACATTAAGAAATTCAACACAAGACACACAAATCAAGTTTTATGCAAACGTACCATACTGAATTGATAATATACATTTATTTAACATTTTAAGAAACACAAAATCCAAGTGTGAGAAATTGTCATTGTGGTAATTGTAAGAATCAACCAAACTACTTATAGATACAGTCAGCTTTAAAGTGACCTATTAATTTGAATGCTTTACCTACCTACACAACAGGCCCCGATTTCTCGAAACAAACTTAAGTCTGAGTTTTGACTTAAGTTCGAATTTTTACTCAAATTTGAAAAAATGCATTTCCCAGAATGAACTGAAATCGATATTAAACTCAAACATAGTAGACAATTTGAGTTTGGTGAATAGAATACTTAAAGGTCACATGCAACGTAAAACACAACTTTGCAGATTCTGATACCTTTCGGTATGGACTTACCGAAACAAATCATCAAAAATGCAAATTCAACTTATAAAGTTGAAAAATATGTGCGAAATCATAGTTCAAACGATTCACTAATTTTCCCCCGACTTTTCGGGAAAACTGGTTTCAACAGCTGGGCTGCGCTCATAGCACGTGCGCAGTGAAATAGGTTCTAGCAACTTGGAAGCTGGGCTGTCCGGTGAATACTCAGTGAAGGCTTTGGTGTAAGCTATTTTCCTAATGTTTTGTTGAT